CCTTTAAGTAGGCTTACACTATCCTCTGATCTGCGGCTTGGGGTATTAGTTATTAATTTATCCCTTCATGGACGCTATAGAATATCCATGATATAACCTTCTAACAATTCAAGTTTTTGTCTGTGATGTGGACTCAATTCTTTCTTTTAACTTATACTAGAGTCCCCTTTAGCTGTAGGAATACCAATATATATTTGCTGCATGGATAACAATCCGAAATCTTAAGTGCATTCATAACATAACTAAATCTGCGTCATTGATCAAATAATTCCTTTCGTTCCTTCTCAGTTTTCTTTAAAAGTAAGCAATTACCTTCCCTTGTCATTCTGCCACTTGTTGAATGAATACATGACTTACCTTAGTGCCCACATATATTGGAATTTTGTGCAACTCATATGATCACGTATATTACTTTTGATTTTACTTCCCGTTCATTGGTTACGATAGGTGCCACTTTCTTATAGAGTGCATACAATGTTGTAGTGAGATTGTTGTTCCAAGATCATTTCTTCTTTAAGAAACTATACTTATGTTGAAGCCTTCGTCCTTATTTCCTCAACTAGTCTTCGTTGTATCACTTAGGGGAGACCCTCTGACTCTTATAAAGTTGTGAGCTTATTACATCATATACCCGACGGAATTTTCGATGTGCTTACTAGCCTATAAATATCCTTAGTTACATACCTTCGTCCCTTGTTCTTATAGGGTTACTTCTGAACTCAAATTTTTTTTGTCTCCCCCATGGCACTCTCTTTTATTTCCATAACACTTTTACGAAAACTATAACTACCTCAACTCTTATCTGAATATTTCTCAAGGATTACGATGTCGTATATGCGAGATTGAATTCCCTATGTTGGGGTTCACTAGTTTTATCTTGCACGATCTGTTGATTTATTTGTATCCTCTTGTCTAGCCATAACTAGGCTCTTCCTGAATCAACTATTAACTATTCGTTGGTCCATTCTCATATCTATATTCCGTGTAATCTCGCTAGGGCTGCTTCCTTTGTCTTAACTTACCTCTTGCACTGCTCCTAATGTATCAAGTGCCTATTCACACTTATTTATCAATAACATCCTGGTCGGGAACCCTTACTGTCTTTCCTCGGCATCGTGCTTACATAGTGTTCTGGAGTCGTCGTATATATGTATGATCTGAACAAATTCAATCTCACTTCTTTCACCTTTTTACTGCATTCTTCCTTTACTATTCCGTAGTTACCTAAACCACTTAACTCCAACTTAATACCATATCACCCCATCTTCCCCTATTTAGGGGAGTACCAACATTTAATTCTATGAAGATTCACCTACAAATATTTTACCTCTTCATCTTCGGCGTCTTTTCATGTCTTCACTAACTCTTAGTCACTTTGCGATAGCCCTTCTCTACCAGGTATAACTAAATTTCTCTGAATGACCTTTGAAGGTTATTCTTCTATTGTCCATTCTATTTTTGCCGGAAGACATTCTCACGATGCCAACTATTATCGAATCTTTCAGTCCCTAAATCATGTTCGATTTATCTTGTTTACTAGCCTATGCTAATTTCTATCACTCCAAGGGTCTAACTTAGCTTTCTAGTAATCATGTTGGAGTCACCAACTCATTTCTCGAAATTAGGATATGACTTTATGGCATATACTCTTTTATAGTCTCAAATCCTGTCATCTCTTATATTTTCCTTCACTTGACCATAGACTCTATCATCCTACCATATTTTGATTTACCATTAACACCTATTTATATCATACCTTACTCATAATGTTTCATTTACTCTCTTCTTATTCTCCTACTAATAATTCTGTCTATCGCATTATTCTGAAAACTTCAACAAAACATTGTTTCACCTTTAGCTCCCCTGGCTCTATCCACCATTTCGGGTTACTCTAACCCAAGCTGGATCCTGATATCTCATCCTTCTCTTAAACTATATATGTTAGTTCACATAGGGCATAACTGAGATGGGTGTGGGCAATTGTACATACCTCTATTTCCATTGATGGTAACTTAGAATCCTTTTATTTCTCTGCCTGACGTGGAAATTCGGATAATCTTCATTAACTAGGTACCTCGTACCCTTCTTCACCTTGATTCTGTCACCTGTTGAAACTTATACTTTTACCTTCTGATACTCCCATTGCCTGTTATTCGCGGGGTATGTTAGATATTCCTGTCTTATGGTAATAGGAAAATTCACGTATCTGGTATGCATGATCTAATAGGGTCTCAAACAGGTTCATGCCGTTAAGAATTCTCTCTCTACTAACTATGAACTCTAGAGGGGTAACCCTACACCCAGGCCGATGAGGCCATATTCTGAATCATCTAAAAATATCGTCTCTCTTATTGAGGGGTAAACATACCCAAAAGCTCTCATTTATATATGTGCAGGCTGATGAGGTTGCCATGAACATCTACTAATATACAAACTATACAGGACTTGTCTACAAGCCTCTAGAGATAGCTAAACGGTATCATGGTCGGGATAGGGCCTCGACCTACCCATCAAACCTATATATATAAAATGGACTCCAAGGTCTAGACCTGGTAACTCCAGGGAAGTGGAGCTTACCAACCAAGCTGATGTTTGGCTCTGTCTACTGGGAAGGTCTATCCAGCTGTCTATCAGAATCTTCAGGCATGAAATGCAGTGTACCCAGCAAAGGGACGTCAGTATGAAATATTGTACTGAGTATGTAAGGCAATAGAATAACTGAAAGTTGAAACTGAATTGATGATATAATAACTAAATGTAATTGGGAGTCAAAGATAATCTGAAGATATGCTTACCTGGTGATATTGACTCAACTCTCTTCATATAGTATGTAAAATAGATGTCCGGCCTTATAAGGCTCGGTATGTGTAACTGCTCAAGTGTAGTAGGCTCGCTCATAAGCACTCGGCCATTCTGGGCTCACTCATAGGTGTTTGGCCACAGTGGGCTCGGTATATAACTTACCATCTGAGCAGAGGTTGCCCAATAGGGGTCTGCCCATCAATTATAGCTCGATGGTGGTAAAAATATTATAGTACTGTCCAATAGAGGCCTGCCCACTGATTATAACTCGATGGTGGTGAAAATACTGTGATATTGTATATATATATNCACATGTAGTTACTGGATCATGCCAAATGAAGGAAAGGTTTAGCCTTAACATACCTTATCACAATCTTTCCAATAACCAAGTTGAACTCGCCTCTTTGCACCTTAATCTACAACAACGATAATAATAATATCATTAAGTTACAAAAGATACAACTATCGCACAACGAACGACAAGCTTATTTTGTATAAAAATGGGCAGCATCTCCCTTATAATCCTTACTTTCTCCAAATTAAAGATAACACGAACAACAAAATTACACAACAATATCAACATATATACATTATTTTCCAACCTTATATATACCACAAAATACTACAAAACAGCCCAACACACCCCAATCTCTTCACACACAAAACGACCACCGTAGTAGTGTCAAACAATCTGTATATGCTACGACGAACGGCCCACCCTCCACCCTGTATTTATGTGGTGTTTCTACACACCCTTCCTCCTCCAAATATCTAGAAAACAATATTTCAATATGCAATCCAACAGCAATCCACAAAACAGTCCGCTACAAGTGAATAACTCGAACTCACGGCTTCCAATCACCGTCCCGTGAGTTCTTAAAATTACAGAACGACTTTCCATAAATCTCCAGCAAAACAATGAATGAAATAGAGCGGTAAACATACCTTATTTTTTGAATAACTCATCTCATATCTTGGTTTTTCAAACTCTAGGTTTTACCTACAACTAGAACTTGAAAAGGAGAGAAAATCAATTAGGGTTTGTAGGCAATTATTGGGAAGATGTTTGCAGGGATTTAGTTCTGGGTATTGTGTTATGTAATTGAGTGTTATATTGTAGGAGATAAACTCTTAAATGGGCTCTTTGATCGACCCTAAATAGCCTCTTTTTGGACTCTCATTTAAGCAAGTAGGTGACACACCTACTTGTCACCTAGTAGTCTGCGCAGTCTCGCGGAACGCACATATCTCTGTACTCTGATGTCGTATTGACAAACGGTTTAATGCGTTAGAAAATAGACTCATACATCTTCAATTTGGTAGATAGATTATCCCCTAATTCCAAGTATATTGGGAGAAAACCGCATCTTCATTTGACCTAATTTTTAGTACATTTATGAATGTAACTTGTGATGATCTTTGCCAACTTTTGTTCCACAACTTGCTTGACTTAAAAACATAACACACGACTATCATACGACTAAAATAACTCATAATATAACCCCCTTATCTTGTTGAGCACCCTAGTCTCATCATAAAAAGTACACGTTATAACATTTCCAACTTGTCAATATTCGACGAAACTTATTTTCTTCAATTTGTTTAGCTTCCTAGCCTTTCAACCCTCTTGATACTTGTTATCCATGATCTTAAAGATTTGTAATCTCCAAGGTAACATGATTAACTTACTTTATGTACTCTTAGGGATGATCTCATTTCTGAGCTTACATCAATTAACTTAGGAATACTCTTTCGTACGAAGATATGGGGTGTAACATATTTTATATAATTAAAATTATTTATGAACATCATATAAATAAGAAGGGAATGGAAGAGGAATTACACTTATATTTTTTTCTCTATATAATGATTGTTAACTTTAGGGGCGGAGCTAGCCCTTTTTGGATACGGGTTCGGTTGTCCAAATTATGTATTTATTTTTAAAAAAAGCATTAAATTACGTATAAATTGTTAATTTAGAATCCAATTACTTAAAAAAAATTAGAATGTTAAACCCATAAGTTTCAAATTATGGCACTTACTCTGGTTAACTTATATGCCCTGTTAAAAGAGTATTAATCGAGAACTTAGTCATTCCTATGCTCTTATTTAGATTTTTTTGGCTTTATATTTTTTTCGCAGTAGTTTTCCTGATACATTTTCCTATGCATGTTCTTTTATAAAAAATTTATTTTTGCTATTATAAAAATTTATTGTGTTGAGAAATTAATGAGGAAAAAAACAAAATGGTTCCAATTGTTTTAACAGAATGAATGAAGATAAAACAGAGATTTACATGCCGGAGAAGTCACAACTCAAAACTTCCTTTATCCTTTCCAATTGCAGAACTGAGATGTCTCCAAATTGGGTAGCAGCTGAAGGAACTCGGTGAGCAGTTTTTCTCTTGTGGATTTAATTCAGAAATATGTCTATATAATTGCATTTTTGGGGTACTATTATAATTTTTGGAATTGCGTTTATCGAATCTAAAATGAAACTCAAATATTATGTTTGTTACGTTCTTGTTGTGAGTCCCATTTTTTATCTAAGATTTATTTATACCCGAGATCAAGCTGAAATATATATTAAAAAAGAGTTGGGGTACTTCTGAATTTGGAATTAGGACTTGAAAAATTCCCCAATTTTCTCGCCACTGAGAAAGGACTTTCTCAGGTATTTGATTTTCTGCATTCTCAAATTGTTTTCATTTTCTTTCAGAGTATATACTAGAAAATTAGCTGAGCAAAGTTAGTTCTGGGATAGAGACGTTTTATTGTTGTTGTCTTTTCACCGCATTTTAGCATTCTGTAATAAGAACACAAGCACCTAATTGATTAGAGTTTACAGCAGACTAAATTTTTCCAGGAATTAGCCACGTCCTATTTTTCTATTTTTCTTTTGTACTTTGAACAGTTAATAGTAAAAACTGACAACAAATTCGTTCTTTTAGTTATTCAATCATGAAATGCTTCGTTTGGCCATCGATTTCAAATCAACTTGAAATAAGGAATTTTAAAGTTGAAAAAACTTGTTTGAGGAGTATTTCGAGTGAAATAATGGTTTCACTCACGATACTTCAACTTTTTCCGAGTGAAATTCATGTCACACCTGTTTGGGACGTCTTTTCTTCCCCTTTCAGATGGAGCTGAAATATAAGGACGAAAACGCCTGCTAGTCGCCTTTAGTTCCATAATTTCTATGCAACTAATGATCCTCATGGTTGTTATGCTTTTGCTTGCTGGGTGTTTTGTGGAAATTGTTAATGCTGCTTGCAGATTTTTTTAGTACTAATATATATGCTCTGGGTGTTTTGGGAATCTTTTGGGCAGTTTTAATTCTTATTCAGAGTGACGCTTTGGCCCTTGTGTGATCTTGGGATGCCGGAAGATAAAGGTTGGGAAGATCCTCGTTCCGTTAATAGCCCTAGGAGGATCTTAAGTTTCTCCAAAAATAGGACGACCACTGTATTCTTTCCAGATTCAGATGACAGAGGTTCAGGATTTGGTGTTTCTGGAGATCAAGGACCCAAGACTTCTGAAGTTTATGGATTTGTTGGCTCCATTACTACTGTTGTTGCTACAGGTCTATTCTTTTAGTTTCTTACTTGGAATATATCCATTTATTTGAATATTTGCTTTTGCCTTTGATTTCATGGTCTGGCAATACAGTTGAATCTTTAGTGGTGTAATGTTATCGTTATGCATTCATCTTCTTTGGGAATGTTCTTCATGGCATGAAAGTTACTTGTGAGCCTTCCCTTTTGGTTCCACTGCTTTGCCTTTGTGGCAACTGCTTGTGCAGCACTACCAGTATCTGGATAAAGGGTCGAATTGCGAACTCATTTTTCTTGGGAGTCAATGTTAGACTGGATATATTACTCTGCAAACGTTGAAAACAGTTGATATTTCTACAATCTGTTGTCTGTCGTAAAGCATTGAGCTCTCATCTTTTGTATGTATGCCTGCTTTGCTTTAACCTAATTCCACTTGTATTCCAGTGGTTGCAACAGTCATTTGATTTCACGCATAGGGAAGTCTGATCTGTTTCTATTATTTTTGTGGACAGTTCTTTTCCTGGTGTGGGCATATCTTCCAGAAAATTGGTTGCATTCTTTGGGTATTGTTTACTATCCGAGCAGGTAAACAAAATGTAGTTGCAGTTAACTAGATTGAGCCTAGCTTCATTGGTCTGTTTGACTCCTGAACCAGAAGCTGGCTAGTTTTATTCCAATTAACTGGGTTGTGCTTAGCTTCATGACTGCAACTGGCTTTTGTTTCCAAGAAGTGTTGAAACATTTTCTCGGAGACTTTTAAAATCTTTTCGACCTTTTTTTCCCAAGCAGACACCATTAGAGAAAATGTTTCTCGGTTTGTGCAAAAAGGAAAAAAAAACTATGAATCATTAATGGAGTTCGGTTGAAAAAGAATCTGAAAAAGAAATTCACCTATTTTTTAAACAAATGCAAAACAAAATGTATGAAATTTTGATATATAAACTCCTTACCTGCATGCATTTCAGATATTGAGATATACTGCTCCCACATTTTAGAAGTGTACAACTGCATGAAAGGGACTTAAAGCATTTGCAGAGTGTCTGAGGAAAATAATTTGCTTGGTTAAGACTTAAGAGCTTAGCTGGTTACTAATTGTCATAAGATGTATGTAACTTCCTGTTAAATTGATGTTCGTTTTTCAGGTACTGGGCATTGGCTGTGCCAGCTTATGCGATGATGACTATAATACTAGCTGTAGGATTTTACATTGGTCTCAACTTCTTGGCTACCCCTCCTCCAACTTCTTTCAGCATGATATATGGTAATTGTAAGCTGACTTTCTCATTATGGCAGTGGAAAGGATCTTCTTTGAGTTTCTGTCTTGCACATGCGTAACAAAATTTTAGCATTGTCTGTTGAGAACATGTGATGCAATGGTGGGATCTAGCTATTGATGTTTGCATTTGGTCTGTTCTACAGATGAATTCACGAGAGAACCATTGAGCAATGGCCCTTCAATAGACGACAATGAGCAACCTATAGAGCCTATATCTGATATTCGGATTGATCAAATTAATAACCTCATGTTCAATCCAAAATGACAAAGGATTTGTGCAGTTATTTTGCTTGGGTAGATTATATTAGTTTCATTTCCTTCATGTATCAGTGAATATCTTTGATTCACCCAATTCAGGTACTTAGATATTAAATGTAATTTGGATGTGGCATGTCACCAGCAGATATGGGTTTGATTCTGGTGAAGCTATTACAGAATGCATCAACGACGCCTCTTCAGTGACAACCTGCTCGTTCAGGGATTTTTTTTTCTTAGCTTCAGCCCAAGGCATTGATACTCTTAGGGTAGTAATTCTGTGATTGTTTGGGTGAGAAAGGAAGGTTTGAAGTTAAACATGGTTACCTTGTTATGTAGGAAGTTGAAGAGGATACTCATAGTGGCTCCTGTCATGGCACTCTGATTGTAAGCCTTTCTGACATCATGTATTGAGACTTAGAGGTACTCATTTGCTTTCCTCCGGATAATTCGTGAAAGTAGATATACATGAAAGCAACAGTAGATACTTCTTTTTCTCTCTGGATAAGGTGGACAGCAAGAGTAGATACTACTAATAGATCAATTGACTAGCCCCCTCCCAACCCCCTGTGTCTTTTAGACAAAAGGTGCTGTGAGTTAGTTTCATGTGCCTATTTTTATCAGTGGCACGACTTCAGTCAAAAGATGGAAAATAGTCTTTAATTTGTATGCTGAGTTGCGCATTCATTTTGGTTCTCTTTTATGTTTGCTCATACTGTATAGTGGAAGAGCTGAGGATCTTGCAACTTGATTTGGGAACATCAAGGAAACTATAAATAAAGAATACTAGAATCTGAAAAGGAATGGTAAGTGATTGAGCCAACCAGTGACAGAAAAGCACCAGCTAAATTTTCGTTTCTTCCACTCCGAAAATGATCCTTCTCTGCGCATATAGTACACATATTTGTTCTTCATTTTTCCCCTTCAACTTTTATCCCAATCTTATTGCCTCAATAAGTTAAACCGTGTAATTCTTTAAGGGGCCAAACTGTTAGTTGAGATCAATTCTCCTCCGATTGTTTTGGTTTATGCCTAATTTTCTTTTCTTGTTCGTTTTAGAAAGATGTTTACCGTGTAAAAATCAAGTCTTAAGAGTAATAAAATCGAGTCTCGGTCTACTTTTACATCATTTAAGAACTATTTTTAATCTGTTGAAATTCCCTGATAGTTATAAATTACTCAAAGCCCACATGTATAAATTCAAGTACAAAACTGAGCAGAATGGCAAATGAATATGTCGTATTACAAAAATATGGTAATAGTAAAGCAACAATCCAAGCCAAATAATGTGAAAATTCTACAACAATTAAAGAATTTTAGGCTGATCAAGTAGCAACATTGATTCACCCAAGTCGTGAATTTGTGCTATCATTAGAAGGTCTCACACAATTATCTCATCGTACCCATGCTACAGAATCAATCTCATCTCTTGCTTTCTTGTATAGTTCGAGCCTCTTAGCACACTGCATTCTTCTCTCCATCAATGCAGGGTCTTCATCTAACAGTTCTGCAAGTGCCTTGCCCTGAGATAAATTTTCACAGAACTGTCAGCACTTGTATCTAGATACACTAAATTCTATCTTATTCTAATGCTCGTAGAATATTGGTTAAGGAAAATGTTCCTCCGATTATCAATTCGCTCGCTTGTTATTACACTAACAAGAACCAGTGCCTATATGACAAGATTTCGATGATGCAGTCTTTCTTTGAAGAGTAACCAATATTTCCAAAACAACTTAACCGACGTACAACTCAAACCTCAGCAGATTTGTATTCTAAGCTATAATATTCAACACCTCCTTAAAACTCAGTTATGTGGTAGAGATTATATGTCGAATCAAAATAACAGTAGTTTCATTGTGTGTGTGTGTGTGTGGG